ACTAACTCAACAATAGCCTGGCTTGGGCTATGCCAGCTAAGTGCCATCCTGCCTAAGCAAGATCATAATACCTGGAAAAATAGAATAATTTTTCCTGGTTTTAGCCATTATTATGTAGGGCACAGTGTGGGGAGTTCACAAAAGGAGAAGCTTTTTCTTTGGATGGACAACAAATGTGGAAGAAAAATGCATTTGTTACCCAATACAGAGATCGCCCAAATTAAATACATGAAAACAAATACTAAAACCAAAACTAAAACCAAAAACGAAAACTAAAACCAAATAGAATTCTACCCTTATAATTTGTCTTTGCACTCTTGCTCCTGTTGCCTCACACCCTCTCTTCACTTTCAAGAACTTAAATAAAAAATTGCTTAAATGTCACTTCTTACACTCATTTGAAACCCATTTTCTTCATAACAGAGGGCAGTAAAAGCATTTCACAGCTCCAGCTGGGGGTGACGTAGAAAAAAAATGAAGACACAAAGGACAGAAATAGAATTAACCTTTGAACTGTTCTATAAAAGGTGATTCCCTTTTATGGTTCCAATATATATTAGTTTCAGACTATAGCTCAGTACAATGAAACGATTCAAAGGAGTAGCCAGATATCCTAGTTTATGGGATAAACAGACCAAAGAATGTGCCTTAGAATATTTTCATTACTTAATGTAAAAAATGACCAGATAACTTCACAGTTAGAGACCCAAGTACTGAAATCAAAGGACGAGATCTTATTGATGTTAAATCCTTTTGATCAGGACTATTTTACTAGAACACAAACAATGAATTTTGTTCCAGAGCTCATTATTTCTTATTCTTTTCTCTACTATCACAAGCATGCTTTAGGCACAGGGGACAGTTAGCTCTCAGCTTTTAATGTTAATTATGGTAATCTCTGTAGACATCATCACCTCTTCTCCTAATTCATAATGTAGGCATAAAACATCAGTGCAGCTTTCTATTACAGTAGCACATGTCACTGCACTCTAGGGGATTTTTGTGACAGCTTACTCTTTAAAGCCCTTTTTACAATTCAGTAATAAAAAAATAGAAAATAATTATATTTAAAATAGAAAGGCATTTTATTTTGTGAATGAGTTACAACCAGTAAAAAGAGGAATTAAAGACTAAAAAATAAAAGTGCTCTCTCTTATCTTCTACAAAGATAATTCTAATTTCATACTGAACCAAATATACTCAACAAAGTTCTTGTTTACCACCTAATTAAAGATGCATATCAATCAAGTAAATGCTCATTTTTCCCATAGAAAGAAATTCTGTGCTCTACATCACCATTTACTACAAAGCTGGAACACCCATCTTGTGTGACTCTCCTGATCATTCCCACTCAACACCTAACTTAGGTTATAACTTATATTACTGGCAGTGTTGTAGGAACCTGTCTCACCAACAAGCCACAAACCATTTGTAAATACTACATCATAAGTTATGTTTCATTTGCAACCATTGAGAAACAAAAATAATATTTCCAAGCATAAGAGTAAATTTTCTTTTATCATTACCTTAATTTTGTCTTAAGGAAAAACCCCACTGATGATAGTAACACATTTGTCAGTTTCCCAATCACTCCATAAACATGAACATGTGATATTAATATTTAATGGCATATATACATAAAATGCAAAAAAGGTACTAAAGAAACCTGTGCCTCAACAAATTGTTGTCAGGACCCATGGCTACTCTCATGTAGTGACTCCCCTGATTGTGGATTCCTAATTGTATATTTTCCTCCAAAATGTTTAACAGCCATACAATACCACAGTTAGAGAGGTTGTTGTCTAAGGAATTCACTTACACATTTCAGTTTATCGGCATTTTACACGAAAGGCATGTAAAAATTATTTTTCTTTGTCAGATTTAAGAAATATGACTCACAAAAAGCACACACCTAAAATTAGCTGGGAAATAGGAAACTAACTAGATGGCTTTTCCTATCAGAGATATTCATTTCCATAACACCTAATTCTGCAATCAAGCATCATTGCCTTCAATATATTATTAAAGTATTTTGTAATTTCAGGCATCATTCCCTCTCTTGCTCTTATGTAATGCCATTCTGAGAAATGCAGATGTTTTTATATAAACAATAAGGTATAATACATCTACAAATGAGGAACTTCTGCTTTTCACAGATGGAACTGAAACAGAGATAGTATGGCCCAGATTCACAAATTTTCTGAAGTCATCTTCTCTCAGAAAAGATTACAATAACTCTAATTTACTGTGGAAAATTATTTCATCCTAAGAACTTTCCTGTAATTTGAAGCCATCTTATTGCAGTAATATCTAGCACAAAAGACAAACTGATTGTTTTATTTTGGATTATTTTTCCTGAATCAGATTTTGGTTAAAGGTGTCATTACATCTCCAAACAAAGTGAATATTAATGCAATGAAGGTATCAGTCATGACTTTTAGCTATGGGAAAGCTCCACTTCACATTTACAAGAAATTAGTTCAAATCCTGCTGTGCTTAAAAACCATATTATATACTCTCCTACCTGAATGACAAACAAAATGAGTTATCTAAATGTAAGTTTAAATGTAAGTTCACTAAGTTATGAGTGATACATCTACATCGAATAAGAAAAATCTGATTCCTCAGAGCACTGTTGTCAGCCTCATCATAGCTCAAAATTGGTTTTGGTCCCAGCCAGAGGAAGGCTCTTCTCATCCTGCTGCAGCCCAGATAAAGCAGAAGCTCATATTTTATGAAGGAGTAAGATGGCAACAAAGCTCAGAGCAATTGTTTGTGATTCAACAGAGGATAAATAAAAGGAGTCCCAGGGCTCATGTGGGAACCTGCTTTGACAGAGGAAAACCTTCCTTTCTCACTAATTCACACATGGCAGCCCTATTAAGTGGAGTAACATAGAGGATGAGCTCACATCAAAAGCTTTCATTGATAAATCACTTCTTTCCAACCTCCACCACTGTAAAGATCCTACAAGTGGTGACAAGACTCAGAATATGTGGTCATAATGTTCCCTGAAGCACTGCTGCCTTTAGTACAGCATGGAAAAAGGTAATGTTAGCTGGAAAACCATGATGTGATCATACTATGAAATTTAGCTGTACAGGCAGAAGGACTAGCTTTTTGCTTCTGTTTGAGTTTTGGTTTTGCTTTGGGGAGTATGGAGGGTATATGGGGTATTAAAAAAAAATTAATCTTCATAGTACTCCTCTGAATCAATAAATCCATTGCAAATTAAAGGCATTTTCATCAGCTCACTTCATCTGCTCTGCAAACAACAACAACAAAATCTAAAATAGCTAGTATATTTGGGCTGCTTTATTATAAGCTGCAAAATGGTGAATCTGTCCCCAACTGTTAGTAATTAAAAAACATTTAAGACTGCTTATCTTCAAAGTATTAGAAATAATTATGTGACAGGACTGTTACAGCGTACACTTACTTAATATAGCTCAAAGAAATGAGATAAGAGTTACTAAGATGTACATATAAGGTTGCCTTTCAAAGAAGCTATGTGTGTGCGAGAAGGGAATGAAGGAACAGACCCTCATCTGCAAAAGACTACACAGCCCAGGAAATTTTCTGCAAATATCCTCTAGCAGAATCTGCAGCTTTTTACCTAATCTTTGAAACACACAGTCATGCAGATAAGGTGGCATTAAATGGATCACTGCTGCCTCTGGAAAGGAAGATAAGTTAGCCTTTGGTACTTAGATATTCACTTTCTGACAGCTGTTCTTCTTTCTCAAAAAATTTCTTTGCCAAGCAAAGATTATTTGGGATTGACAAATCTGTGCTTTGGAATAAACAAGATCTTTACTCTGATAGGGTGTTGGGAACAGATGTTTAAGATCCACGTAACACTATAGTCTATCAGGCATACTATGTAACTTGAGGGGGTCTGAGGGAAAAGGTCCCACAAATACCTACATGTTCCTGACAGTGTTTATGAATCCCTACTATTCCAAAAAATACCAAGGGGAAGAAAGCTTTCCCTCTTACAATGCAAATCTAATGAGGAAAACACAATTCTCCTTCCTACCCTGTGAGAGGGTGGAGACAAAGAGGAGACACAATGGTGAGGTTGGTGTAGCTGATAAAGTGGTCTGGAGAAATTCACACAAAACAGTGCTAGGGCCTAATTTAAGTACAAGGTGGTTTGATTTCTTAAAAAAATACATATCCCTTTGGGATAACTAACAGTTCTGTAATGCATGTGGCATATCAGGACTGCCAGCATTCACACAACTATTATCAATCCATGAACTTCCTGCTGGATCAATGGACTGGAGATGGGGGAAAAAAACTACACAGGGTCCCAAATTCCTCAATGTCACTTTGTTAACCTCCAGTGCTCAGCCTGTTGCTCTAAATACAGCCTGTGCTTCATCTGCAGCCCTAAAGGGTGAGTGCTCTCCTTGATCTTTACTGTCTCCTTATTCCAGCCAGGATGCTTCACCAGTGCGACAGTGGACTCCACGTGAACACTGTGGAATACAAACATTTTAAGGCCTGTCTAAGTTTTAGTATTTTGTTAAATACATGCCCAGAAGTGGAAGACGTCAAAAGCAGCTGCCACTAATTGCAGTGGCTGCCACACAATACTGGTGACAATATGTCACCAGTAGATTCTGGTGGTGGATTATATAATTTTTGTTTCCCAGGACATGTTCTTCAGTAAAATCATCCCAAACTAAACATATAACATACATGCAATTTTCCACGGGTATATAGACAAGCATTTGAAAATGACTACCCAAAAATTACCACAAAACTTTTTCAGATGTGTTGCAACATAACAAACCTATACAGCGTATAGGTATCCTTGAACTTAGGACCTGCTAAACTGACATTCAGTTGCAAAGAGGTGCTGAATCTTTGTTAAAGTTTATTGTTACATGCATACAAACATTCCTTGATTCAAATGCAGTTTTCAGATATGCCTGTTCAGATTTTCTGTTTGTAACATTTGATGCCAGCCAAGCTCTGCAGATTTCTTTTACCTGGAATAATGGATTGCTTGATGTCCTGCAATATTAAAATAGAAATCGGTTGTGTGTTTCATCTCATCAGTATGCCCAGAGACTTCAATCCAGTGTGCTATTGGGAGGCAGTAAACTCCATCTACTATGTTGCTCTGGTTGTAAACACAACTTCGATCATGATGGGGCCCATTGCCTAGAACAGAAGAAAGGACAGTTTCAAGTTGTGTAACTGGACAATCTTAAAAAAAAAACAATGACAGGGAGATTTGAACTGAGCATTCAAGGCCAGGAGTGGTTCTTCAACCTCCATAATATTAAAAATTCCTAAATCACTTACAATGTAAGGAATAATTAATTTAATCTAAGTTCCTCATTTTCTGTCTCATAATATGTGACCTCAAATTCTTGCTCAGTGACCTCTCCCTAGGGTATCAATCTTGCTGTGTCTCAGACATGCCATGGCAGCCTGACCTTGGTTCAGGCTGGCTTCTAAGGAAGTTGCCAAGATATGGGAAAGACCTCAGAGAAAGTTCAGAGGACAACCATACATGCTCAGAAAGGTAAAACCACAAAAAAACTACCAGCTTAAGGATTCAAGAGGAAAAACATCAATGTGTAAAAGCATCAAAGCCCAAAGAAGGTGCCAGACAGCAATGTAGAAACAAGGCAGACTTGCTTAAAGGGGGAAAGAAGGGTGGCCCTCTTCCACCTCATTCACAGCTGCCTGGCCAGCAAAGACCCATCAGATTCCTGTTGCAGACCAGACATATTCGGATATCTAGCCAAGGAGTTCATAAAATTCTATGTGTCTTTTATATTTGTGGACCAATAAACACTCACTTTCTTGTCTTCAAATGCACATCTCACTTTGATTCTGTTTGTACACAGTAGAAGCTGCCCCAAAGTGACCCACAGAGAGACAGTCACAATTGCAATGGTGAATGACCACAACTACCTTAAGCAGCCCAGTTTAAAGTAAGATTCTTTTTCTTACAGTTTTCCACTTCTTCTCTTACAGCAATAGTGTGAGCTTTAGTCAGAAAACCTGTTTTTAATACCATGCCAGAGTAAGCAACTTGAATTGAAATGAGTCATATTATCAATCAAAAGGTTATCCAGCCTCCAAAAATAGAGTACATGTACATTCTCCCCCCATAATTTTTTGTAATACTAATTGTCATGTAGGAATAATTATTGTGCAGATCAGAAGTGACCTAGTCTATGGCTTGCTTAAGCCTGTTACACTTATACATTATTAATGATGTTAAAATATTTCTGAGAAAAATTATGCCCAAAGGAATATCTTCAATTTCCCACCGCACGTAAATGCATGACCAGTTTTCCATCACTACAGTTAGGGAAATTTGCCAGAGCAAGAGCATTTTGGGAGATGTATTAATGCAATGATTAGAGAGCAAGAATAACATTTAAGAGGAAAGCTCAAACAATCTCCTTATTTCCAGATGACATGCAGGCCATTTAATCATAATTTTGAAATATTATTATTTACCAAAATGAAAACTAAAATATGAGGCAGAAAACTATTTTCTCTTTCACATTGCTGAGTAATTATGCATCATGTAGGTTTTGATTATTTTGATTATAAGTAAGGTAAACAAGATCAATACAGTTTCAGAAGCTACAAATCTCACCACTATATTTTTATCTCACATTTATAATTGTTTACATATTATTACTACTTTTAAACAATACAAGAAGACAACAGCACACATCAACAAATACAAGAGTGTAGCAAAATCTATGGATGTTTATGACATTTAATTAATGATTTCATGCATTCAGCAAAATACAGCCACAAACACCACATCTTGCCTTCTCTATTCTACTGTCCAACAGCTGTCTGTAGCGATGCACATCACCATGGCCATGTCCTGCCATCATGAGTCTGTGTCTGATCCTGACCCCCACATGCCCACAGGCCCATGTCCTGCCCCAGCCTCAGCCTGCCCCCAGGGAGATGCCTGATGCTCGGGGCTGGGGCTGCCCTCGTGCCCCTGGCTGCCTGCTCCTGACTGCCAGTCCCATGGGGTGTCCCTGCAGTCCCCAGGGAGTTCCCAGCCCTCTCTGCACCATGGCAGTTTTGAACCATGTTCTCAGGATCTCTGGCTTTTTTGCTACTCCCAGCCCTGTGCTTCCTTGTACACAGGTACCCACTATGTGCTTCCTACTGCCCCATTTCCAATTGCTGCCACTTGAGCATGCACTTCTGTCCCTATAGGACACGTGAAAGCACGACACGAGCCACCTGCTATTTGCAAGGTAAAGAAGAAAGTTTATTCTCCGACTCCAACTTTAATACTTTCCCAAAGGTGACATTGGATTGGAGAGTGAATGGGCCACCTCTCCAAAGACATTGGACAAACCACTAGTACATCAAGTTTCTCCACCCCCCACAAAAGAAGGTAAACAATATGTTGTTTATAGAAATTGTGTGGGAAAGTTCTCCAACAGAATGTAAACTCAGAAGGCTTTAGAAAATCTTAAGAATCAGGGTGACACACTTCTGCCACCTGCCAGTTTTACAGTTCATCATCCCTCCCTTTCTCCAGCTTTAATTCTTGTCCCTTTTTTGCCTTCCTTCCTTCTATATGAGCTTCCTCCTCCTCTATGCCTTCCTAAGTCCTGCAACCTCCATGCCTTGTAACCTAACCACCTTCACCATCATTAATTCCCTTAAATAGCCTAAAACCACATATGGAAACAGGGCCAAGAGTAAGTTGGCATGAGATGTTTATTTTGTTTGTTCCCTCAAACAGATTTGGTCAAATCTCATTATGAAACACTGTCTTCTGTAATGAATATTTATTGCTGTTGATTTTTGTGCACAACTGAGCCTCAGCTTCCCCGCTGTGGCCTACAGTCAGACCTGAATCTCAAAAGGTATGGTTCTGATTTGCCTTTAATAATCAGATAAAGAGTAGCAGCTTGCACTCATATCATATTTTATGAGAGTTGCCTAGTTCTTTACTACTCCTTATGTTAATACTGATCTATGAATTAAACAACTTTCCTACTGAAATAAGACATCTGTGCAACATAATGTACATCAACATATTTTCAACATATACATATATATTCACACATAATATAGCTTCATACAGGAAGGAAAGAGTGCTACCATCTTCAATAAATACTAATTTAGGGAACAGTATGATCAAAGTGTTCAGTATGATTGTGTTCAGAAAGCTGAATTCGCTATACTTCTTAAAGGAATTCTGAAAATCTGCAACTACCAAAAAATGATCAGGTTTCATTACCCAGGTAATACCCACATGATTACACAAATGCTTCTCACCACAGTTTGCTTCACAATATGCATTTAAGAAGGAAGTTTCAAAATGAGAAAAAATTATTTTCTCAGTCCACATCATGCTTCTGCTAGCACAATCTCTCTCAGGAAATCCACCATATTTTGGATGCCATGAGACAACATTCACCTCATCATCTTTGAAGAAAAGGAAAATAAACACAAATGTCCTTTGAGAAAGAGCTCACACAACAACAAACACATGGTTTTACAGATAAACCCATTTCTATATCATTATTTTTCTTCATCTTGTTTTTATTCATATTCCAAGTTGCAAAACACAGGTTTAATTATTTATTGTTGGGAAGCAAATACACAATCATCTGAAAACATGTAAAATCCAACCATAAAAAGGGATAAACTGAGTATTTGAATAGTACTGACCTTCCCATTAATTGATCATGTTGGTTTTCCTAATTAAAGAAGAAATGCATTTTGGAAGAGTTTATTAGAATATGCAGGTCCTAGTTTAACTTCTAGAATAGCATTTTATTTCCTTTCATTAGGTGCATTTTTTTTTTTAATTTAAAACCCATCTTTGTGAGTCTTCACATCAGAAATGCTCATCTGAAAGAAAAAGATTGAAATAAGTTTCTAGGCATTTAATTATAAAGTTTTTCATTGCTTTTGCACCAGTTGCTCTGTACTACAGATGGTTTCTCGCAGAATCCGCTGGCGCAGGGAATTGCTGAAGGGCAAAGCAACCGAGTAGCCCCACTTACAGCTCCAGCCTCTCAGAGGGCTCTTTCAGAATCTGCATGACTGCAGTTTATGGCTCCTTGTTTAATGCATATGAAGGATGATCAAAGGAGCATAAGAAGTGGCTGTAGAAATAACTAAACAGAAGAATAAAACCAAAGATCTCCATATAACTGATAAATGGTGCTGGTAAAAGGAGGAAACAAGAATGAAAGGAGGAGACCAGAATGAAGCAAAGGAAATCTGGTTTTGATCCTCCTTGAGCAGGGAAGTTGGACCAGATGACCCACTGTGATCCCTTGCAACCTGATTGATCCTGTGAAAACCAGAAGCAAGATATAGAAAGTGATACAAGATGTGCAAAGATCTAGGACTGAAAAAGGTAAGCAGAGACTAGAAGAGGATGTCCTGAAATTCGAACTAATGAGGCACAACCACGAAACACAAAAACCTGCAGTTACTATTTTATTACAGCTGTACTGCAGGCATGAAAGAGTATAATTCAAAAGTCTGCCAACAGTGCAGACTTATCTTGACACAGAAAATAACTGCACACAGATTGCACAGAAGAGTCAAACTGAAGAAATTACCAGCTTGATCTTAAAAGATAAACAAAATATGGGTCAATGAAATTTCTTATCACCATTAAGAGTGGTGAACAAAAAACACATCAATAAATGAAAAAAATAAGACTGCCTGTCCCACTGTCTCTGCAGAGCTCTTTGCAGCAAAGGATCTGCTCAACCACTGCTCTCCCAGTTACCAGCTTGTTGCACACCTTGCTCCAAGTTTTAATTTTTTCTATTCTGTGTTATGTAAGGTATGTAGGAACTACAGGGCTCAACAGCAGCCATAAAGGTACTGGGTATTTCATCCCTGCCTTAGCCTGACCCTAAAACACAGATATGCAACTTCCAAACCTCCAAACCCCAGTAAGGTGAGGCTGTTTCTCAGTTCACTTCTACCTCTTTAAAAACCACAGGGCTACTTAGATAACCTGAAACACATTAACTAACCCACCCAAACCACAAGCAGCCAGGCATTTTGGAGATCACCTACTCACAAATCAGTCAGAGGAAAGACTAACTCTTATAATCTTTGTCATAATTTTCCGTGAACCAGCACACTTTAAATGTCAATTCAAAATTTTAACTATGTCTAAATATTTTAAGTAATTCCATTTTTATCAAATGAGGTCATTTAACCTTTTAAGGTAAATGAGTATCTTAAGTTCATGCTTAGAAGTTCCCCTCTAAGAGTTTAATATTATAAGCACTCTGGGGGCAGATAAACAGGGAAGCATCAAGGAATAAAAGATTTTTTATAAAAAAAAAAATAGTGGTAGAACAGAAAGTAAAGAAAACATATGAAAAGAATCTCAAAAATAATGCATTTAAAAGTTTTTATAAAAAAAAAAATAGTGGTAGAACAGAAAGTAAAGAAAACATATGAAAAGAATCTCAAAAATAATGCATTTAAAAGAGTAAGTTTTTAGTAGCTTCCTTACCTTTTATACCAAAATAACAATGAAGAAATGTCTCAAGTGATATTTTGGATACAATTTTCAGTTATCTGAATGTGCTGCTGCACTGTCTGGTTATCACACATCACTCTAACTGAACTTCCTTCAGCACACTCACAATATTCAAATTTACTTACCCTTCACACCAGATTCTGTCACAAAAGTCTCCCTGCTGCCTGTGAACAAAATTCAATCTCTGATGTTTTGAAATAGGATCTGTCTCAATCTTGCCAAGACTGAATTGCTTTCGATTGTTACAAAAACAGAGGTGGAGGGGGCTGAATTCCTCTCTTTGGAATTGAGCGAGATCAAGTTTTTGAGAGTTTGAGTCTGACACAGGCTCTGGCGTCCCACCTTCCTCAAGCCTCAGCAAAGCCCTCAGTAGCAGCCCTTTGTTTTAACAGCTCTGACAAATAGCTCCAATTCTATATACCACATATGAAGCCTAACCCGTATGCCAAAGAAAAGCATACTTTGATTTTTAATGCTTTTTTCTTCTGTCAGCAAACCATCTTCCCCTTAGATTCTGTAAGTGGTGGCAGATGAATTTATTTTATTACTTAAATACATAGTATTAGTAAGTCCTTCTAACTGGTCTGATTTTCAAAAATGTTCCTTTGCATTTGCAAGCCAAGAAGAGACACCCAAAAAGAAGAAAATCATGTGCATCATACACCACATGTTTATATTCTTTCAGACTTAAAGCAGACTGTTTCAACTTCCTTTTTGATAGAGCTGCTACACAGAACCATGGAAACAAGTTCTAATTCTATTAAAATCCAGGCAGAATTTAAGTCTTTTTATTTATATAACCCAAGAAAATTCTTTGATGGAATTACATTTTGAAATTATGCCTGAATGAAAACTAAATGGTTTACAAGAAAGTCATTCTTAATACTTAATGCTGTTCATCACCAAGGCTTTTTTTTCTTTTCATTTTTTTAATCAGATATAAGAAAATCAGAATTTTCAAAGTCAACTTTCAAAAATATGTTTTATTTCTCTCTGTAGGTCTGCTCAGGCCCAGGTGTTTTTCAGTAGGAACTTCTATTGTACCAAGAGATTTTAACCAAATGCCTGGTTTAATGATGAAGTCAGAGAAAAGCATCTAAAAGTAAATTTTCCTCATGTATAAGACAATTTCTTTTCTGGCAGATGGTAGAAATAACACTACAGGAAATACAAATGAGAGAATAATGGTTAATAACAACAAAATGTATAATCTAATACCATCATCTTGTTTGTTCTGACACTGTTTACTGTACTGTCTACTACTAATTGTTACTTTCTACCATACCAGAATAGGCAGGAAATGAGCTACATCAAAATAGCAACCATGGCAATACTTCGACCAAAGTATCATCCCAATTACTTATCACTTCTCAGTGTTTCTTTCCATTCAAAATAAGTTGTTGAGCCCACCTTCCATTTGGAAGTGAGGGACAGGAAAAATGGTAAATATAGGATTTGCATAAAAATAGCATTTATTGTAAATTTGCCATTATAACCACAAAGGCTTTAATTAGACTCACACAGAAATCAGAACTGGCCCCTGATTATCTCTGTGGGTAGGAAAAGATCCACACCTGCCAAATGCAGAAGAATGCAAGTATATGCATTTATTTTTATTCTTGTAATTTTCCAGTTTCACGTGGCCATTCTACATTTTTTTTACTGATGTCTGGTTGCCTGCTCAGTATAAACTGGCTAATGCTGATAAGCAGATAGAAAGTAATGAGAATCTTGATGCCATTTTATTGCACCAAAATGCATGCTATGTATAAGCCTTGTGGGGGTTGAAAAACAAAACACAGTGAGCTACTGTGAGCTACATTGTAACCAAAGCTTTTTTTCCATTCCTTAAAGAAGTATTGGGTTGAAGAATTCAAAGTTATCCACTCGTTAAGTTTTGTCACATCTGAAAGATGTTAAGGTATCTAGTGCTGTCCAGAAAGCAAGAGCCTTGCAGGAACAAAATGCTTTATGATGCACAATTATTCAACTATCACATAACTTGTATTTTATGTTCATTTCTAGTCACCACCTACTTCAGAACTGGGATTTGGGAAAATAAGTAAAATTCTGGATTATTTTCAAGAGCCTAATAGATTACACAAAATACTAATGAAACATGCAAGTAGCTGCAAGATGCTAGGCAGGCGCTGGCTATACACAGGGAATATGGCACCACCCAGTGGGAAGAGCACTACATGAAACATCTGCATTAAAAGAGCCATAAAGAAACGTAACTCTTCAAGGTTTGCTGTCTTTTTAATTTTATTTTTTTAATTCAGGTTTGTTTGTTTTTAATAATGGAACTGCTACCTATTTTCGGGATCTGTAGATTAGCTTTGGAGGAAAAAAAGAAAGGGAAAATTAATGGATCTCAGTTACAGAAATTAACATGGTATCCAACTGTACTTCTTAGAATGGCTTCAAAAATTTTATTTTGCAGCTTAGCCCCAAATATTTTTCATTCCATTAGAATCTCTCCATTGCAAATGGCAACTAGATCTTACCTTCTCATAAAGCCTCAGAAGAATCCCCTCCTTTTAATGAAGATATTACAGCTTTTTTATCCAGAGCTGAAGCCAAAAGTCTGATTGCTTCAAGCTTCAAACACTTTAAAAGTCAAATTTTAATATGCTTAACCATCACTGATGTTTTCAACTAATCAGGTGCTCAATCCTATGATCAGAATTTATTTCTGATATTTTCACTGGTTGTACTACAGTGATGTGAAAACCTTTATTACTCCAAAACTCTACCAGTCTTTTGGTTTATACAAATAGGCTCACAGAAGTGTGAACTGGAAATGTTGGAAGGCCAACATACTACAGGCTGAGTAACATAATTGTATTTAAATTGTACTGTATTGTATCATTTGTCTTGCAAACAAGACATCTTTTCTCTCCTCCTCCCTCCCCAAAACTAGAGATGGAGGTTTTCTGTAAGAATTAAGGCTCTGCTCACCTGAACAAATTACTAGAATATAGGCTGACTGTGCTTTGGAACTTTCACTGGTAATACTGGATCTGGCAAGCTCCAACTCCACCATCTAAATTAAGAGCTACACAAAAATCACAGAATAACAAAATGGTTTGGGTTGGAAGTAGCCTTAAAGATCACCCAGTTCCCCAGGCAGAGACACGTTTCAGTAGACCAGGTTGCTCTGGGCCCCATACAAGCTGGCCTTCAACACTTCAAGGAAGGGGCATCCACAATTTCTCTGGGCAACAAAGGGGCAATATTTAACAGTACAAGCTTGTGTATGTACTACAGGCTTATGTAGGTTTTCTATATAATTTATTTTTTCCCTTCCCAAAAATACAAAGTGTCAGCAGACTGTATTCCATCCTCTCAAAATACAGTTTGGGGCATACCTCTAACAAATTCCCTGTCCTTTTATGCAGCATGTTTCTTTATTAGTTCCTACAGTTTATTTAGATGAAAGTATGGGGATAAAGGCACAGATGAGTCTTCCATCATAAACTCACAAAAACAAACTCAAGCATAAGTTTCATCTTGTATTTATTTAGTTTTGACAGCAGACACAAAATACTTTTAGTTTCCAAGCTGAGAGATGTTAAGTCCAGTTTTGAAGAATCAACACAAAAAACAAAGTACACAGACACAGGTGCACTTGGGGGAGAAAAAGGTACATACATGAATTTAGCTTTTTTTCTAATTCCCAGATTCTAAAGCTCAGCATAACCAACCTGTTTCGACAGCATATACAAAGAGACAGCATATCACAAACCCTCCTGGATAGCAGGCTTCAGCTTTCACAGTAGGTAAGCAAGTACCAATCCTGAAGAAACCCCACACAGCTCATGTGACCTGAGCCAGAAACACTCAATGGCTTTAAGTGACAGGTCCTGTGTGCAGACCAGCAACATCTCCCTGGGACAGCAGAAGCAAGTATCTTCAGGAGCACAGGGGAGTCTCACCTCCCACTTTGTCCTCCTAGGGAGGGGAACTTGTTCCCTCAAGGCACATGCAACAACCCAGTGAATCTTGCACAGGCCAAGCCTTGCCTGAAAGCTTCCTACCAAAAGCCATAGAACACTGGCCTGTGACTTTGACTCTTCTAGCCCACATAAATAACTACCTCCACTTTTATCTTTCAGTCTTCCCCACTGTATTGGAATGGCTGAAATTTGTACTCAAAACAGATGATACATAGGTATCGTACTATCACAAAAACAATATGCACTGCCAGTGGAATTCTCACACACGTATGTGTCTTAGTAAAAAAGATGAAGTAATTTTCTTAAATACAGCACATGATTTCAACATCCAATATATGTAAACATCTGACACCCCTAATCAGACTGACATCCATGGACTACAGTTTCTCTGGTTACAGATGGATGCCTCAACTCATAAACTTAGAGCAAGTATCATTCTGCACTTTCCTCTATCCCTCACAAACATGTCTTCAAAACTGCAGATGTTCTGCAAGAGCTAAGTGTTTCCCAAAGCCCATTTTAATTCTAAACACACAGGATACTAAAGAGACAATGCACAGCATTTGTTCAGCACAAAAAAACACCTGTTCTTTTTTTAAGAAGAGAGTTGTCTTTTCAAGCTCTGGGTTTTACAAGAATAAACAGATGACAGACAAATTTTCATTGATCACAGTTAAAAAACCCCAAAAACCAAAAAACACTAAAACAGATTAAAAAGAATGGCAAGATTGCTCAGTTATTGGATAAGAAAATTTCCCTAGGCTTCCTTCATGCAATAAAGCAAGAAAAATAAATTTCAAGGTTTAAGCAAATTTGTACTTTCATGTAAATATCAATTGAGGAAAAAACTGTTGATATTAATGACTAATTAAAAAATTATTCTGCATTTAGACGATGTGCC